GGTTTATTTGGAGAATATTGGCATTAGTCAATTTTCTCGGCTGCTGGAAGCAGTGAGGAAGACAAATATGTCTGTCAAACCAACTGGACAGAGAAGCTGGAGAAGCGAGAAGAAGGAAGCACATCAGATGTTGGCTGTGGACGACAAACCATCGGGTGACTACAACTCACGCAAGCGAAAGGATAGGGAGACGTACCCGCCATTACCTTGCAAAGACGAAGAATTCCATGCCATCCTCGACACAATGATTGCAGATGGTGCAATCAAGCCTCTCAGACCTTACAAAATTCCCACTCGAGAGGAGAAAAATGATCCTAGGTACTGCCGTTACCACCAATTTGTGGGACACCCAACCACAGCTTGTCAGAGCTTAAGGAGGATTTTACATGCTAAAATACATGAGGGAGTCCTCGAGCTGCCCTATAGGAAGCAAACTATTGATGAAGACCCTTTGCTAAAACGAAGGGGAAAGGAGATGGCTGCTGTCATCACATGCTCCGATGATTTACTCGACGACGATGAGTTATGCCACCCATGAAAGAATGACCCGAAGCCACCCGAGGCTATTTAGGAGCCTTGTGGAAGCATGGAGAAAGCCTATTGGTGCAAATACTCGAAACCTTCTAGCTACAATACCCCATGGCCCCTTGCTGATGGATGGGAGGATAGCACAGCCCATGAAGCATTCCCGATGGACGTGCCGGAAGAATGTTACTTGGGGGCTTCATCCGTGTCGCAGGAAACAGCCGTTGTAACGTTTCACAATCTTACGGAGGCCGAAGCAAGTGTGATGGAACGTTATCTAGGTCTGAAGCAGGGACCTACGGCCTCACAAGCCCTCCAAAAGAATCCGAAATTCAAGTCACTCTTTGACCAACTTGGCTTTGGGCCTCAAGCAAGAGAAGCAGCTGCTGTAGCTCTCATGAACATCTCTGCGGAGTCGAATCCTCATTGCTTTGCTGCTCAACCACAAAGGTCATTCTTGGGAAATGACAATGCTATCGTTTTCACGAATGAAGACATGGAAGTTCCATATCCGGATCATAGAAGACCACTTTACTTGGAGGGACAAATCAACGATGTGTTTATAAGAAGAGCTTTGGTGGACACAGGTTCCTCTGTTAATATTTTGCCTCTGTCTGTGCTTACGGCAGCTGGAATTCCATTGTCCAAAATAGTGCAATCTCAAACAAGCATCAGCGGTTTCGGGAATAAAAGTGAGATCACGGTTGGGCACGTGCAAGTAAACTTGAAGGTGGGGCCGATCAGGTCGCTTACCAAATTTTATGTGGTGGATGTGGATGTGGCTTACCATGCTTTACTTGGAAGGCCATGGCTCAACAAGCATAAACTTGTGGTCTCTACTTACCATCAGTGCGTGAAGGGAAGGATTGGGCTGAGGCCACTTCGCATACGTGGGAATCAAGCATCGTTCAACAAAGACGAAGCTCACTACTCCGAGGCAGAATTTTACACTGAGTGCACAGATGCTGGAAGCAGCCCATCTAAGGATTTCGGAGTCTACCTACCCTCATGGACTGAAATTCATGATTTGAGCAACGAAGAACTCATCACCATCGTTGAGAGAGAAAGAAAGAGACACTCGGAAGCTAACAATCATGCCTACAATCATCCTCAATGCTTGAAAGTGACGCTGCCAGACGGACGCACCGTGTACCGCTTATGACGGGATTGGGGGCTCGACCGTATCCTACGGGAAAGCCCCGAGTACGGAGAAGAAGCCATGCAAACAAACAGCCATGACAGTTCAGATGACAAGAAGTCCACGCTTTGTGCTTTCCAGGAGCCAATGGTAGCACCTAGACACATGCAAGATGGATCGACAGCCGTAGCTGAGCAGCTAGAAGCAATCAATTTGAGTGACGACCCCTCTGCCCCAAAGCCTGTTTCCATCAACATTCATTTAACAAGTGAAGAAAATGAGGCCTTGGTGTCCTTGTTAAGAGAATTCAGAGATGTATTCGCTTGGAGCTACGAAGAAATGCCCGATTTAAATCCAAACTTGGTGAGTCATACGTTGAATATTGAGCTTGGTACGAAACCTGTTGTGCAGCCAAGGAGGAATTTTCATCCTGAAGTTGAAAAACAAATCAAGGTGGAAATTGAGAAATTGTTAGCTGCTGGATTCATCAAGCCAATCAAGCACCCAACATGGCTAGCAAATATTGTTCCCGTAAAAAAGAAGACCGGAGTAATCAGAGTATGCACGGACTATCGAGACCTCAACCGGGCTTGCCTAAAGGATGAATTCCCGCTGCCCAACATGGATATCCTAATTGATTCAACTTCGGGTCAAGGTTTGCTGTCCTTCATGGATGGATTTAGCGGTTACAATCAGATTAAAATGTCACCCAAAGATGCTGAGAAGAAGGCCTTCCGAACACCATATGGGAATTTTTATTACACGGTCATGCCGTTTGGTCTTAAAAATGCTGGTGCCACCTATCAAAGAGCCATGACAGCAGTGTTTCACGATATGATGGGAAAAGAGGTGGAAGACTATGTGGATGATCT